ATATAACACGAACGACACTATCTCGAAACGAGAGTCTCGTCCTTAAAACGCAGCAGAATTGGTGATCGCTAGTTTCTGACGTTGCGAGTTTTGCTGTCTCTGCTGTTCTCTCTCTCTCTCTCTCTTTCTCTCTCTCTCTCTTTCTTTCTCTCTCTCTCTCTCTCTCTCTCTCTCTCCCTCCCTCCCTTACACGAAACCGTAAACTATACGAGTAAAGCGACAAAATAACGAATGTGTTCCCACAATGTGTTCGCGTTGCTTGTTCGCGTCAGTCTGACAAGACAAGATTCACTTAACGTTACTTGTGTTTCGCCTGCTCTCATCGACACTATTCGTTCGACTGTTAAATTACTACAGCGAAGATCGAAACGTAGCCTTAGTCAGAGGAGAGATTGCGCGACAGTGTTTCAAGTTCAGACAAAGTTTCGGAGAATTGCTAGCGACAGTGCAGAGCGTTCTGATAGTCTTTAGTCGTTGAGAGATTCTCGTTCGACAAATACTTTGAGGAAATTCTTGATTACTTTTACCGTATTTTGGAAACTTCATAGATTGTCGAAATAATTCATAATGGAATCATCATAATGGAATGCGAGAAAGCTCGTCGAGTCGTTTGAGTCGCATCGTATTTTCGATTAAAATTAATCGTAGCGATATTTTGGAAATACTGTCGGAAAATTGGTTTCGTAACTGGCCCTCTCCTTTGGCGATCGAAATTTAATTAATTCGATCGCGTCGATAACACAGAAAATTGCATTCGAGAACAATTCTAATCAGCGATGTAGGTCGCATCTGGTTACTCTTCGCGATCGAGGATCGCTAGATGAGCAAATTGAATTTAATTGCCGGATTTACCATCTGGTCATGTGATCGAGAAAGTCTTAGGCGCTTTATATAATAGTATTTAACTGTTGCACAACGTGGTTGTACAGGAACTTAAGAGCATCCTACGATAGTCAATAGTATCCAATAGTGATGTTACAATCAATTAGAGATATATATCTTCTGATTTGTATGTTTCTTCCAGAAAAAGATAAGAAATTATAACTGCGGCGGGATAGACGACACGACGAGCTTAGAGATTGATTTTCCGATTGAGAAGGAACGTCGGGCAAACGTAGTTGAAGATTCTTGTTGATCATCGATCGACATTCGAGGGAGACAGGAGATAGACACGGCGAAGATCTCAGCCGTCGATAGAAATTCACGAAAGTACACAGACACTCGAGATAGGAACAGAAGGAATAGCACGGACAGTCGCGGACAGGAGGAAGCTGGAAGCAGCGATAGTTGCGACGAACTTGTCTTTGATCGATCGACAATTGTAAAAGACCGTGATATTCTTGATAGTTTCATTTCTGTAATTACGATCTGTCAAAAATTTCAGAGATGCTGACAGTGCTAACTGAGCATCACAAACTCTGTGTGGTATACACAATTTCTTATTTCAAACTCGCCACAGATCTTCTCGTTTAAGGAATTTTCACTTACGATCATCTCAATAAAACTTCGATATAATTTTACATTAGTACAGATCGATAATTTAAGATAGAGTAAATATTGCACGAAATTTTCAATCCATGAACTTCACGCAACTATTTATACTGCTGTTCCAGCGAATAAAAACGCGCAGCGCTGTCCGTTCGAGTAACGCTAACATAAATAACGTCAAAAGCGAGAAGCGATTAGTAGATAAGCGAAGGACGTTCGCTGTAATTAGAGGAAAATTAGACTACGAATTACAGAGCTACACGATAGATTTATCTAATAGAGTACGTAGTTTTGTGTTCGTGCGTATGTGTAAATGTTTTCCTTAAATGTAGCTTAGGAAATCTTTATGTATATATATGCATTATATATTTACGTAATGTATAGATATATACGTACGTACGTATGTATGTACAGAATACATTGTTTAAGAGATACGCGCGTTTGTTTTTCCTTCGTTTAATCGGGCAAGACGAGCAAAGTTTTCTTAGAAAGGGAAAAGAAAACTAGACTGGGAAGCTGCTACTTTTGCCAGAACGGTGTCGTCGTTTCTAAGAATCTTTACTTTCTGCAAACTCGTCGAATTGATTTTTTACGTTATTACGTAACAATTGTTAAGTGGTATGTGTTTCCTTCTGATAATAGTTGAATATCGATGCGCGACACAGATGTGGCGTACAAAAGCGTTCGTCTTCCTTCATTTTCATGGCTCTCGTGAGATCGGTATGAAAAATATCCTTGTGCAAGCTAATAATTCTTAGAACCTTTAATTGAAGCGCGTTATTCGTTCATTAAGCGCTACTTCCGGTTTCGTGGTGCATGCCGTGCATAAGAGCGCATCGAATCGGAAGCTTCATCAAGAATCGTGAAATTCGTTAATTTTTCCTTTGTAGATTTCATTACAGTAATTTAGAGAAATTTCCTTGAAGAAATTATTCTTTCTTAATCGTTTTTTTCACAAAGTTAGAAGAAGATACAGTTCGTTACTCGCGGCCTTTTAACGCTGATTGACTGTTTTCGTCAAGAAAAGATGGTTCTCTCAGCGAAAACAGACAGATTAACGATTATTTCTCTCGACGTAGCAGTAAGGCCAGGAGAAAAGTGGGCGGCGAAAACAGAGGCCGAATTTTCCACGGGCAGAGCGGAAAAGAACTCTTAATTAGTTCGAGAATCGCTTTCGGCCGTTAATATCGCCGTGAAGTTAGGACAAACGTGAAATGGTCTCGCTGGCTGGTCAATTAAAATAGTTTAATTGTCCGTGAGACTTCCGTAACGAACCGGTGCAATTTCCAGTAACGAACTCGGAGTCCAACCTTCTCTCCGAATATTTGCATCCACCGCCCAATTTTTTTCTCCTATCGTCGACCAATCTAATTGGAGATCAGCCGACTTTGGTTTGCTTTAATCGCCTGAATCTAACGAAAAAAAAAAAGATAGACTAAAAAAAGAATATCTGTCTCTTCGTGTTTTTAATCCCCGGATAGATTTTCTTCAAAAATCGCGAAAATAAATATTGTCGCTTTACGAATCTTATAATTATCAATTACGTTCCATAGAAAATAATTCAAGCTTATCACTAGAAACGTACATATATATATAATTCCACGCGTGTGTTATTCCAAAATATTTCCCTGACGCCGTAAACAGAGAATACAAAAATACATTGCTTTCGAATAGTCGCTCGGAGTCTTTCAATACGGCGGTGAAATGAAGCTTCCAGATATATTAAGCGCGTTGAAATTTCCGCCTCGCTCGAACCGGAAATCTACGACTTTATGCGACCACCACGCTCCAGAAGCTCAATTATGTCGGCCAATTACGTCGACCAACGACTGTACACGCGAATCTGGCTCGTGAATAGAAGCAGCTTTATTTGGTGGACGTGCAATTCGCGACGCCATATTGCATTTTGTTTTCACCAGAGCGGCCGCGGGAAAGCAAGAGAAAAATAAAGACAGAGATTGCGTGTGCCTCGTTTTCCCTTCTCGAACATTTATTTTCGTTGCCTCGCGCGATGCATTTTAACGATACCGATCGTTGTATCGACTCGTTGTATTAGCAACAACAAAAATTATAATCGCTATAGAACAGATGATCGACGATAAAGTGGAGAGTTACAGACGATAGCATTATCACCAGTGATAATGGATATGACTATACGTAACAACAACAAACAACAGCAACGAAATAAGGTGAATTTATATAGAGGTAAATAAAGGTACACGGTGTTGATAATAATAATAGTAATAATAAATAAATATAATAAATACCGATGACAATAATAAATACGATGATGCCGAAAACGTTAATAATAATAATAATAATAATAATAATAATAATACTGATAACAATTCGTAAAAAATAATTACTATACGTAATGAAGAACAATGAAATCAGTAGCTAAAAACCGAGAGACGATTAGTGCCGGTGGTCAAGAATTCTCCGATCGAAAGCAAAGTGGAGGAACTGGAAAGGAGCGCGATCAACGATTATTCAGATCGCTCCTCTCTCTCGTCCTAGTTTCTTTGTTTTATGTTTTCTACGTTTATCCTCGCGCATGCCTTTTATTTGCGTTTTTTCGGTCGACCAAATCAACAAACACGCGTCAAACGGTGCACTTCGTTAATTCTTTATTACTTTTTTTTTTTTGTTCTTATTTTTATATTTTTTCTTCGGTTAAAATGTCTCTGCTCTCTACCCGGACCGACGTACTAATTTCATTTTACTTCGTTTCTCGTTAATTAACTCGTTAATTCGTTAGTATTGCTTAGTATTTTATTGCTCTACGTTCGTACGTATGCGACAATCGCAATCGTTGCACGCGGTACACGGCGTCTTCGAGAAAACTCATGAAACAAACGTCACCATGCACGAAGGTGAGGGCGAGGACTAGAAAAGCTTTTTGGGATCGATCGATTTCTCATCCACTCGATCGTTGGATCCCTTCGAGAGGAAAGACCCCTAACGTTTCTTTAGAGTCTAAAATTTCCTACATCCCCCGGCGGAATCCAACGGTGAGCGTACGAGCGCTACGCGAAAACACAAAGTATAGTACAAGACGTGTTCATGTGTGTTCTGTTCTCCGGTGCTTCGTTTCTCCATTTTTTCTCGCGATTAATATTTCTTTTTTTTTGCCATTTTTGCTTCTTTTTACTGTTTTGGCGGTGAGGTCGGCTACTCTGTACATGCAACGCGGTAATTATTTGTCGGCAATAATTAATACAAAAGGACTCGTTGGATCGTCGCGACAGCTCTTCCCAAGCTGGCACTGATCCACGCTCTTCTTTGTTCTCTCGCGATCGTGTTTCGCGTGTATTTCCTTCTTTTTTTCTTTTTTCAATCCCTCTATACTTTTCCTCTCTCCTTTTTCTTTCTTTTCGTTATTTTTCCGGGAATTATTCGGCGCGCTGTAATCGTTGCTTTCGGAGAAAAAGTTGGTCGAATGAAGCGGAGGTCGGATTTTTCAGCCGGATTTCGCTGACACTCCCTTTTCGTTGTTTCGAAATGTTTCTTTGTTTTTTTTTTTTTCTACAAAACGTAGTTCCAAGGATTTGCGTTTAATATTACGATAAAAGGATTCGCGAATTTCGATGTGTAATCGTTGCGTTGCTTACAGAGCGGGAGTTTCACACGCGTCACTAACACTACGTTTGTCATTCGGAGCGTTTGTCATTCTGTTCGTTATATAAAATATACTTAAACGGAATTTCTTTTTAAGACTAGATTGGTGTTCCAAATGTTCGTTGCACAAAGCTTACTTGAGCTCGTTTAAAAGATATCAGAAGCTAATTAAGCCTTACGAAGCGCATTCTCCATCGTTAAAAGGCAAACCACGAAGCCACTGATTAGTCGATCTCTCCCACCATCGAACCGATAAATATTCAATTATTTTCTTTCGTTAAATTCTAAAATGGAAGCGGCCTGTTCGTTGGAACGTTTGAAGATATTGCTTTAGTTTAAAAGAGGCAGAATCGATGAATTTTTACGAGTCGCGAAATCCGACTGGTCGTGGCGCCAATTTTGAACGACGATCGCGAAAAACGGAAGAGCGTGGTTAGGGTTCAGACGATCGAAGAAGTTTCTGCCGAAGCAAATCATCGTTTTCCATCACGTTAAAACTTCGATGTTCGCCTCTATATGTATAATTATATAATTCGTTGTGTCGAAACATTGCTTTTGACCGTACGCGTCGTCATTATTACTTTTTTTTCCTTACTCGTTATATTGCTTCTATAAAATATGTGTATAACAAAGTTACGCATCTATTACTCGAATCTGCTCTAAATATTACGTGTAACGCGCTTCGTGTCGTGTGTCTGTGTATATTTGTCTGTTTCTCCTACGTGTTCTTATGTATACCTACTGTGTAATGTAAATGTGTACGCGTGTGAACGCGCTTAGAATATTACTTTATTTCGTATTCGAGCTTCTATATAACCGATCGTGTAACATCGCTGAAAACTATGAACACGTTGGAAGTATTGCAAATACGACGACCTCGAGGCAGCTCGATCGATGTCCACGTGTCGTTAACACGTTCTATGCCACGCATCACTGTCGATGACTTTCTCTTCTTTTTTTTTTTCTCTCTCCCCGTTCTTTTATGGGAACCGTGTTCTTCTGTGCGAGGTAAAAATAACAATGAGAAAATTGATGGAATTAAATATTTGAAAAGTTGAGGAGTTCTACGAACTGTCGTTCGTAAGAATGAAACGGTTTTGCATGACGTAGAGCGTATTGGGATGGTCGAGGTACACGGTGGCGAGCAAGGAAATTTTTGACATCTATCGCATTATTATTTCGTCCGGTATAATTCTTATGCAATGTATGGCGTAGAATCTTCGAATTTTCTACTAATTTCTATGAAACAAACGGGAGATTCATTTTTCTCTCCTGCCTAAATAATTAGCCCGATTTTGTCTACTCGAGCACTTCAGATCCTTCACATATGGTCTACATAAAATTGAATTTCGATTTTTGCTTTTCTATGTCTTTCTTGAAAAGGCTGCTACTGATCAAATACTCCCTTGTCCACTACTCAACCGCAAAAGTTACCATCAAACGGCCGCCAAGAGATCTAACAATCAACGTGAGAAAAATGAAAACAAGTTACACGAGCCAGTTATATACAACCTCCTTCCTTATCATCGAAAGAAACGTACAGGCCTGCACCGGCGCCTGTATCGAGAGTATCCATCATCCGTCGATCGCCCTGTGGTCGAGTGTAATTGTGGTCCAACCGTGGAAGGAGCCATCGAAAAAAGGAACATGGGAGAGGGCCGATCGTCTCGAGATTCGATCCGATGCTCTTCGGAAGAAACGAAGTGGTCCGGTGACGACTGTACGTTTCAACGAGAACGACGAATCGATCTCTAGACACGATTCGATACCCGTGTCGCCAATGCATTGGCATTAGAACGCTGAGGACGAGCGTCGATGCAGGGTCTCGCGGGGGAAAGGATTTGGGGAGAATCGAAAACCGGCCGGAAATTTCGTTAGCTCGTGGTTAAGTCGAGCCTTCTTCTAATTGAGTCGTTATTGCACCGAATCTATCGTCTTTTAATTTCCTTTCAATAATCTGCTTCGTTATCGTCGTTATTATCGTTATATCGTGGTGTGTGTCCCCCTTGGTTTGTTATATGCGTGTACGTGTGTAATTCTTGTTTAATCCTCGAAGAATTTTCTTTTTATTCGTTATTTCATTTAGGCAGCTAAGTATCAATAAATAGTGTGTCTCCGTAACGAGCTCGCGACTAGAACCGTACGCGCTAGTAAATATACTATATATATAATAATAATATAATATATAATATAATAATATAATATCATAATGTATTAGATATAATCGACTAGAGTGACTAGACTGCAGTGTGGACGTCACCGTTCGACGTGTTCTTTGTTCTCGTTTCTTTCATCTCATCTTTTTTTTTTTTTCATCGTTCTCTCCTTTATCCATCGTCGTTTCATCTTGTTTTTTATTCTTCTTTTTCTTTCTGCTCGTTTTAAGACTTAACATTATTGGACGTTTTTATTAATGTTAGACATTATTTAAGAAACCGACACACTCCTATCATTTCCCCCTCTCTTCACCCTCTACCCATCTACCATTAGGTTACTTCTCTCTATTATCCTCCATTTTCTCTACTGGCACTTTTCTACTTAAAACCTACGGCAAACCTTTATTCTTTCTCCCTTTCTCCCTCCTCATCCCCGTCAATCTTCTTCCATCGATCTTGCCTCGTCGTCCCGGTTAGCCGGGCGTCGCTGGGAACGACCGCTAGCTCTCCCTAGCAGCGGTCTCTAGGGCGTCGAGGCGCCTGGTCGTGGTCTTCCTGTCGTCGAAGCGCTGCTACAAACCACGATTGTTGCTTTGTTGATGTTGCGTCGTCGCGTTGCTACCATTGGTAGCAGGTTGCTGTTGTTGCTGTTGTTGCGGCGGCATCTCGTCGTCGCGTAAACAAGCGGACTCCAGGTGTTTGTTCAGATAGGACTTGAGAGCGAAGGTTTTGTGGCATCTCGAGCACTCGTAGTTCTTGTCCGCGGAATGCGTCTGCATGTGGGCACGTAGATTCGACCGATCGGCGAACGCTTTGCCGCAATGCGCGCACCCGTATGGCTTCTCTCCCGTGTGACTTCTCAGATGGCCTTGTAGCAGCCAAGGCCTGGAGAACATCTTGCCACAGACGCCGCAGCTGTGGGCCAACTTGTGGGTCAGCACGTGCATCGCCAGGGCTGGCATGCTCACGTACGCTTTGCCACAGTGAATGCACTTCTTTGCCGATTGAGAGTCGAGACTGCGATGCGTCTGTTTGTGCCGGGACAGGTTCGACGAGGTTGCGTACTGTTTGCCGCACTCCGTGCACGTGAACTTTGGCCTATCCGGCTGAGCAGCCTCCTTGTCAGGCACCGCGGCGCCATTTGTATTCACACTGCGACGCTTCGACCGGCCATCCGACACGAAGAATGCTTCGTACGTGTAGGCCACCGTCTTGCTGCCGCTGCTGGTGCTGTCGAGGAAGGAAAACACCGTGATTTACGATAAATTTGGAATTTTGTTCCGAGAGGTTAGATCGAGTTCGTGTAATACCTATAATCGAGGTTGGTGTTTAAGATTTATTATAAGCAACGAGTAACACCCATGCGACAGATTCGTGAACCAGATGTACACGACATGAGAGAGAACATATATACACGTATCCATATCGACGAACACAATACGTTATACAACAACATTCAAGCAATGTGACACCCATAACAAGCTATCGTGTATATATCACATACATACAGAAAGCTTATTGCGACATCGATTTGCACAATCACTCATCCATCAACCATATATTACATTCATCCTCTATAACGATCCAAGTATAGTCAACATATATATATATATATATATATATATATATATATACAACCCTACATGTAAAGAGACTCGTCTACCTTTCGGTAGATTCGTCTACTTCTCAGTGGAATTGTCTACCGTACAAAGATAAGAAGGTGGTTGGGCAAACGAATGCGTATCTGATTGGTCATTTCTAATCGACCCGATATAATCATAAAAATAGACACCCGTAGTGGAAGGACCTTGCCTTCTCATCTCTGTATAGTACTTCTCAGTAGAACCATATATTACATCAAATAAAAGAAAAAAAATAAAAATATTCCATCGCTTCTCATGGAAATGCCCACCCTGGATACTCACCCATCTCTTCCGGCGGAGCAATTTGCGTTGGCCTCCGCGGTGGCGGGCGACTGAGGCTGCGGGGTTTGCTCCTGTTGTCGCAATTGGTTAGTTTGCGAGCTGGGCACCGGTACCAGCACGGAGACAGGGATAGGCTGCGCGGTCGGCGCCGGCTGCAACTGTGTCGGCTGCAGCTGGCCTGTCGTCG